CCTGGGGCCAGCGCCAGCCAGGTCAGACGGAGCCTGCAGTCGGATGTGGCGGTCCGAGGGCCAGGAGGGCTGCCCTGTGGGTCTGAGTGTATCTTGCACTTCTCGCCATTGTGGGAGGGCTTCCCAGGAGCGTGCAAACTTTAGGATTCTGGAAATCCACCGGGATCATTTGAAATGGCCTGCAGGACTGACGGCCGCTGCCACACAAGCTACCACACGCGCTGACTGTCCCCTGGCTTGGCGCTGGCCTGACGGGCCGTGCGTAATTAACACACATGTTAAGCACATACATGTTCAGCGAGCACACAGAGCCTCGCCGGGCAGTGCTGTCTTGCCTAGGAATACTGACATGCACGCCGGCTGTCCAACTGACCGAGCACGCCAGCTGATGTGACCCCTGTCCGGGCGGCAGAGCCCAACGCCCAGTCCTTCCTCCTCTGCAAGCCCTGGCTCTCGGAGGCGCACGGGCCCTCCCTGGAGAAGGGGAAGCTTCCTGTGCTGCCGCCTCTCCTTCCCGGTGGAGACGAGACGGCCCTGTGTGAGGGCCAGCGACAAGCAGGCTGGGCTCAGTGTGACGTCAGCACTGGCCCGGAGTGAGGGTGTGCAGGCCGCAGCGGGGAACTGCAGCGGCACCAGCTCAGCTCGGCACCACATGGCATCACCTGAGGCCCGTCCAGGCCTGAGGGTGGGATCCGAGGGATCTAGCACGGATGCGTCCCATGGGCAGGGTGCCGTCCGGACTCCCCTTCCAGGGCTGCCCTGAGGCCGCAGCACAGGTGAGTGTGAAGAAGCCGTCACTGGGTACTCAGTCTCAGCATTGCTGCCTGGACTGAGCCCGCATCTAGCCCAGAACGAGACCTCTGGGGCAGGATAGGCCATTATAGCCTCCCTGGCAGCCCCCCACACTCCGTCTTGCCTTGAGTGACCACCCGCCCCAGAGCAGGCTGAAGTCCTGGCACCGGCGTGCCAGCCATGGCACTCTTACCTTCAAAGGTTGGGGAGAGTGGGGAGGCCTGGGTGCCGGGGGCCAGGCGGCTGACGGTCAGGTCACTCTCCACGCCACCCCGGTGGTTCAGCATGCAGGTGTACACTGTCGAGCCTGTGGGCAGGGAGACCCTCATTACAGGCCTGCAGATGCCTGGCCCGGTGCCCCAAAGGCAGACGACCTCAAAGGCCCCTTGGCGGAACTGCACGATCCTGGGGTTGGGGGTTGGGGGTTGCCGATGGGCAGGTCACCCAGGCATTGGTGTGTTCGGGGAGGCGTCTGTCTTCCTGAAGTGCCCCGACACAGGCTCTGTTCCAGCCCTCCCTCCCACCCACCACCACACTGGGAAGTCTGGGGACAGGGTTCATGCCTCGTTCATTTTGATCTCCCCCAGTCAGTGCGGGAACAGCGCCAGCTCCCGCAAACGGCTGCAGAATGAAGAGCTGTGTGGGTGGACGTGGGCAGACGATGGAGACTGGGTGAGCAGGCAGGTGGGTGCGGGCCGAATGGGCGGCGGCCGATGGCCAGGAGGGGGGGAGCAGGGGAGTGGAAGGGAGACAGACGGAGGGAGGAGTGGGGGTACGTGGTGGTCAGTGGCTGGACGGCAGGGATGGGGGATCTCCAGGGCGCAGCGGGAATGCCTGTGCGGGTGGGAGGGCAGTCAGGGGCTAGATGACTGCTGAATGAGGTCCCCGGAGACATGTGGAAGTCCCAGCCCCAGGGCGAGGGTGCGGCCTTTGGGAATGGGTCTTTGCAGACATGACGGAGTTAGGGGGTCACGGGAGGACCTGATGCCATATGAGGGGTCCTGATGAGAAGTCCCGTGACAGGAGAGGCGGGGATCAGAGGGGCACAGCTCAAGCCCAGGCAGGTGGGGCCCCCTGCTCACCACCAGAAGCTGCAGGAAAAAGGAGCTCCTCTGCTGGAGTCCTGGAGGGCACCGGGCCACACTCCGAGTGCTCCCGGCCTCCAAAACTCTAAGAGGGTCAGTTTCTGTGGTTCAGAGCCACCCGGGTCACGGTACTCTGTCACATCGTCATAGGGAACAAGTGGGGACAAGTGGGCTTGTGGGTGGGTGATAGGGAGTAAGATGGTGGGTGGGAAGGTGACCAAAAAGACGAATGTCCCCAGCCTCCCTGAGGACGTCCTTATAACCAAACGTCATTGTCATTTACCTGAAATTCAGATTTAACTGGGTGTGCTATATAGCTATGGAGCCCCGGGGAGGCATGGGGGGCAGTCCCAGGAGAGGCCTGCAGCCCTGCATATTTTCCGGAACAGAGAAGGAAGGAAAGAGGATGGGGGAGGAAGGTGGGGAGAGCTCAGGGCCTCGGGCTTGGTGACGGGCCAGAGGGGACTAGAAAGGGGAGCCAGGACAGGCTGAGGGGCAGAAGAGAGGCCAGGATGGAGCCCTGGGTGCCTGGGACTGTGCCCACGGAGCTCCATGTGTGCTGAAGCTGGGAAGGGCAGTCCCCTCCTCAGGCTCCATACCTGGGGGCCGGCTGACGTCTGCCGAGAAGAGCCAGTCTGCAGCCTTCTTGGCGTCCAACCCCAGCAGGTAGAACTTCCCAAAGTAGGACATGTTGAACACAGCAGCAGCCCCTCTGCAGGCCAGACACTCCTTCCTGATCTAGTGAGGGAGGTGAGGGAGGCGAGGGAGGTGAGGGCATGGGCTTCAAGGCACGCTTCCTCCCAAGAACACGGGGCTGCTCCAATATGCCAGCTCTGAGCTCCCCTCTCTTCCAGCTAGCCAGGACACACCAAGCACATCCTTCTCAAGCACAGGGAACATTCCAGAACAGATCATATACTAAGCCACAAAATAAGGCTTAAGACATTCAAAAGACTAAAACCACACAAAGTATGTTCTTTGACTACATGGAACCAAATTGGAAATCTGTAGCAGAAGAAAAACTGAAAAATTCACAAATAAAATTAAACAACACACTCCTTAAGGATCAATGAGTCGGGACCAGCAGTTAGCGTAATAGTTATGCTGCTGGACTCCCATGTAGTCAACTGCAGTTCGCATCTCAGACCCAGTGGCTTAAAACTCACTCCAGGTGCATGAGCGTGCGTGCCCAAGATCCCGAAAGGAGAATGGAGGAGAAGGGATTGCGGTGTGGCCATCACCCCTGGGGGGGTAATTTCTCGCTTTCTGTCTCTCTGTCTCTCTCTGGCTGGCTAGCGCACGCGCCCTATAGCAAAAACTTCTAAAAAAAAAAAAAAGAATCAATGAGTCATGGGACCAGCAGTTGGCGTAATGGCTATGTCGCTGGACTTCCATGTAGTTGAGTGCAGTTCGAGTCCTGGACCTGGTGGCTTAAACTCACGCCAGGCGCGTATGCGTCTGTGCCCAAGTTCCCGAGAGGAGAATGGAGGAGAAGGGATTGCACCGTGGCCATTCCCCCAGGGGGTGATTTCTCGCTTTCTGTCTCTCTGTCTCTGTCTGTCTGGTGAGCACACGCGCCCTATAGCAAAAACCTCTCAAAAAGAATCAATGAGTCAAAGAAAAAAATCACAAAGGAAATTAGAAACTTCCAAGTTACTTTGAGATGAATGAAAATGAAAACACAACAAACAAACATTTATGGGATACCACTAAAGCAATATTCACAGAGAAATTGATACCTGTACGTGCCTCTGTTACAAAAGAGCCAGAATAAAACCTTTCTTTCCTCTCAGAAACTAGAAAAAGAGCAAATTAAACCCAAAGCAAGTAGAAGGAAAGTAATAATAGAGAGAACATAAATGAATTAAATAGAAATAGAAAAATAGAGAAAATCAGCAAAACCAAAAGTTGCCCCTGAAAAGATTGCCCAAAGCAACATTTAGCTAGACTAACAATGAAAAAGCAAACAAAAGAAGACTCAGCATGAACATCTGGAATGAAAGGGTACGCCACTACCTGCCTCACGTAAACAAATGTGCCCCCAGATTCACACGGGAAGGTGTTAAGAGGCTGACTGTGGAGCTGAAAGGTGGGCCTTTGGACAGTGACCAGGCATGGGAAGGGACTCCCACCGCTGGGTTTGGGTGGAGAGAATGAGGCAGTGACCTGCTCTGTTCCAGCTCCTGCACTCTGCCATGTCGCAATGTGGCCAGAAGACCCTTCCCAGAGGCCGGCACCTGCTCTTGGGCTTCTCAGCTTCCAAAGCCATGAGCTGAACAAACCCCCATTCTCATAAATTACCTGCACTCAGGCGCTTCTGTCATTAGCAAAGGTTGGACTGGCACGCAACTGTAGGCATGAAATGGACAAATTCTCGGAAACTGACATGAATTACTGAAACTGAATGAAGAAGAACTTTAAAATCTTAATAGAACTTTAACCAAAAAAAAAGAGGTTGAATTTGTTAGTTTAAAACTCCCCACAAAGAAAAGCTCAGGCCCAGATGGCATCGCTGGTGAATTTCACTCAGCATTTAAAGAATTAAAATCAGCTTTTCACAAACTCTTCCAAAAAATGTCAGAGCAGGAAACACCTCCCCGTTCATTCTACGAAGCCAGCATCCTCCTGACGCCAAAACAAGGCAGAAATGTCACGAGGAAAACCCCAACCAACACGCTCAGGAATATAGACCCAAAACCCTGGGTGAAGCACGAGCAAGCCAAGCTCAGCAACGTTAAGCAAGGGTCACACGCCGTAACTGGTGGGATTGGTCCCAGGAAGGGAGGCTGGCTTAGCTTCCAATAACCAACTGGCCTAATACACCGTATTATGAGAACAAAGAGCAAAACCCGGACGGTCATCCAGAGATGCTGGAAACTTATTTGACAAAATTCACCTGTTCGTGATAAAAACCTAAAACCAACTGGGAATGAAAAGGAACCTCCTCAGCCTGATAAACAGCTTCTATACAAATCACATGGCGGCGAAAAACGGAATGCATCGCCCCTAAGATCCGGAACAAGACTGGGACGCTGGCTCTCGCCACTTCTCTTCAACATTGTGCTGGAGGCCCTAGCCAGGCAATGAGGCAAGAAAATGAAAGCAACAGGCATCCAGACTGGAAAAGAAAAAAAAAGCCCTATTTGTTGCTAATACGATCTTGGGGATATTAATCATGACGAACCCACTAAAAAACTAATAAAATCATTTTAAAAGGTTAGAGAATACAAGATCAATATATAAAAACCAAACCAAAAAACCCTATTGTATTTCTTTTTTTGAACTGCCAGAATGCACATGTGCTTACCAAAAAGAGACAAAAAGACAGAGGGGCGGGGGGAGAGGGAGAGGGAGAGGGAGAAAGCTCCCCCTAGTGGGGTGTGGTCAAGCTGCAGTCCTTTCTCTGTTCCTCCAATTTGTCAGGATTGGGGGCAAACCCACACGCGTGCCTAGCATGTTTTTCAAGTCGCCAGGGGCCAGGAGCCCGACTGTAGTCAGCCATGTGAGATCTGGCTCCCTTAATTTGTGGCTATGAGGCCTGCCCTTTGTATTTCTATACACTAGCATTGAATAATCTGAAAAGGAAGTTCAAGTCGCTTCATTTAGAATATCAAAAATAATAAAAGGTTCAGAAATAAATGTTGCGCAAGAAGCATAAAACTGATACGCTCAATGCTGGAGATACTTTTGAAAGAAATTAAAGAAGACCTAAATAAATGGAAAGATATCTTCTGTTCATAAAATGGGAGACTTTACTACTATTAAAATGACAATATTCCCTTAGGACTATTGCAGTGAGCGCGTAGGGGTGGGTGAGTGAGCAAGGCTTCCTCTGTGTGCGAATCCTCTCCCCATCACTCGAACTTGCCACCTGGGCCCGCCTCCTGCTGGATGATCAGTGGTGCTGGATTCTCATGAGAGCGTGAAGCCTGTTATTGCGACTGGGGCATTGCAGGTTGCAACGTGGTGCACGCGGGGGGTGCGTGTGGGTGCATGTGAATATGGTGCACGCGGGGGGTGCGTGTGGGTGCATGTGGATGTGGCACACTTGGGTCCTCCCGGCACGCCTGCCCGACTGTGCTCCACGAGGCTGGTGCTGGGAAGGTTGGGGAACGCGGAGCTAATGAGTGGATAAATAAATCGTGGTGTGTTGTAGCATGCAATGCCATTGCTGAGGATGACAGGAATGAGGTACTGACCACGCTACAGTATGGTGGAGCCAGGAAACACAGCGCCATATGGGAAGACACCTGCCCTGTGACTCCTTACTGGCGTGCCTACACCAGGCCATCTACAGGGGCGGCAGCGGACTGGTGCTTGCCTTGGGCGGCAGGGGTGGAAGGGGTAGGGGAGTGGCAACTACAAAGGGTATGTAATGGCTTGTGTGTTCACTGGACAGAGACAGAGAGAGGGAGAGTGAGAAATCACCGCCGAGGGAGATGGCCACACCCAGCCCCTCCTCCTCCATTCCCCTCTGGGCGATTTGGGGCACTCATGTCCATGTGCCTTCCATGTCTGTCAAGTCGCCAGGTCTGGGACTCGGACCGCCCAGTCGGCCGTGTGGGGCGGTCACACAGCCTGGAGGACCGGGAGAAGTGGAGTGGTGCCCTTTAGCTGACGAAGCGTGCGGCATGTGGGTTGTGTCCCCATAAAGCCTCGTTGTTGTCGTTTCGCTTTGCTTTTAAAGAACGGAGCATCGCTCCCTGTCTCACTCCTGCACCGCCGGGGGCCTTGGCCAGGTTTTCGAGGTTTCCTGTTACCCACTGGCCTGCCTCTCAGAGCTCTAACTCGGCACCCAGCTGCTAAGCAGATATGCCACCTCTTCATTGTTGGAAATAAAAAGATGTCAGTAACAGCCGTGCGTCCCGAGGAGCGTCTGTGTGCCAGGCCGGATGGCCTCCTCCCAGACCCACCACCACACACGGGAAGCACTGGTCCCCATGTCCTTGAGCTAGACCGTGGCAAAGCCGCAGCTGGGCCTGCAGGGGGCGCTGTCATGAGAGCCAAAAGCGAAGCTCGCCCCCAAGTCCCCATGTAGGGATGACATGGTGGGTTAGGCGAAGTCGGCGGGGACGGTATTTACACCAGGGGAACTGGCCGACAGCGCAGGCCTGGATACTCCCCTGCAGAGCTGCTAGTGGTGCATTCATGTCTGCTGGTGCGCACATGGCCCTCGGCCTCCCAGGTCCCGACCTTGTGCCTCACCTCCCTCTGGGCAGCCCTGTCCTGAGGGGCTCCTGCCACTCGTTCATCCGGCCCGGCAGTCCCCGGGCCCGCGGGTGGCAGAGCCCCCAGCAGCCGCCGGGCTGCTCCTCGCTCACTCACTGATCCTCCCGGCTGGGGCGGCTGCCAGCGCAGAGTGCGCGTGTTTCCGAGTGAGGACTGCTGCAGGCGCGTGCGGAGGCTGAGGAAGCCGCAATGCCAAGTTGGCATCTGCCCCAGGCTCCCACATCCTTCAAGGCCTGGAGTCCCACGGCGTTAGGAGCTGCGAATGTGAAGGTGCCAGACAGAGCCCTGCGCTCCCAGGAGGTGGCCGCCAGGGACAGGCGCTAAGACGTGGCAGCCGGAGCGTGACGCACGCGCTCCCGCCTTTCTTCCCACCGTGTCCTCCTCCAAGGCCTGAACTGACGCTGCACGCCGGAGCGGCTTCGGGCGGGGAGTGGCTCCTTGCCCGCGGGACGGCTGCCCAAGGCAGGGCCCCGCAAGGCAGGGCCCTCACTCAAGAGCATTGCGGGCATTGGGGCGGCCACAGCACAGCACAGAGCCAAGGGCAGGGCCGAGTGGCGGCGGGCAAACACTATGAAGCCGCCAGCTGCCCTCCCCCAGAGGTACGGGAGCCCTCCCTGGGCTCTGGGGACCCCTGGCCGAGGCCTGGACTCTGCACCATATTGGATGCACGGTGACACTTCATGCCCTCTCCAGGTTGTGACAACACGCACGGCCACGTCACACTTGGTAAGTGCCTTACCAAACAGCGGGACAGGCTCGGGGTGGACACTACACTGCTCTTTCTGCAAGAGCTGCCCCTGGGAGATTCCCAGGGGTGCAGATGCCGGGGACACAGCCCCGAGACCACACCTCTACACGGCCACCCATCAGCCTGGCCAGCTTCACCCGCCCTCTTCGGAGTGGAAGGGCCAGTGAGAGGCTCCACCCTGCAGACCCTCCAGCCCTGGTCACCTCTGCTGATTCCCGGAGGGTTCAGGAAGGCCTGCCCAGGATCAGTGCCTCCCGGCCCCATCGGGGGCCTCCCGCAGGTCGAGTTCCTGTGCTGGGTCCCAGGAAGGAGGAGGGGCAGACCATTGTGCAGGCCTGGGAGCAGGGAAGGTAGGGGCAGCCCTGCCTGAGGCCGCATGACCAGACCCAGGCCTGTCCGAGTGCCTCGCCTCCAGCCTCGCCTCCAGCCTCCAGCCTCGCCTCCAGCCTCCAGCCTCCAGCAGAACATTTACCCTCAGGCCCAGCTGCTGCTTAACAGCACCGAGAGAGGGGCCAGGGAGAGGGGTACAGCCCAGTGAGTCCTCAAGATGGAGTCAGCCACACACGGTGGAGGGGGAGCCCACAGGGCCAGCTCTCTGGGCGGCAGAGGGGCCAGTCGGTCTCCCCCCTCGGTGGGAAAGGGGCTGCTCACCAGCGGCTGGTGGGGCGGGAAGTCGAAGGTGTACTCCTCCTGCAGCAGCCGGGCGTAGGTGTGGTCCTGGTGCGCCTGGTTCCCGTAAGCCCCGTAGTAGTCGTAGCTGAGGACCTGCCGATTGCAGACGGGCCATCGCCACCCTCTCCCACGGGTGATGCCGAGAGGTCTGAGAGCCACGGCCCGGCCCAGGGCCCCAGAGGATCGACACACTGGTGTGCCCAGGGAAGCAAAGGGCCAAAGGGCCCCCAAGGCCCTGCCAGGGCTTGCCACTCGGTGTGGGAGCAGGAAGGGGGCAGCTGGGTGGGGGCACTGGGAGCGGGGGCAGGTAACACCCCAGGCGCTCATGCCAGGCCTTCTGGGACCCAGTTCCCACTCTGGGCCTAGCACTGGAAGTGCCTCACACTCCTAAGAATGAGGAAACTGAGGCTGAGAAATGACTCATTTCCGAGGCCACAGACAAGTGTCCCACAGAGCTGGGCACAGAGGTGGGCAGGCAGGGCATGGGCTCCGGTTGGCTCCTGGGCCGTGGCTCCCCCAGGTCTGCTCCCCACTCTCACATGTCCCCCCCCCGCCCACCTCTGCTGCTGCAGCATGGCACAGGTGTGAGTGAAGGTGTGGGCGGCTCCCACCACCCAGGGCTGCCAGCCCCGCCTCCCGCCTCAGCCCCTTGCCACAGGGAAGCCACAGGTGAGGTGCCAGCTGTGCCGGCTGTGCCATGGCCCGGGCCCGGCTGAGCTCTGCACGGAGCCCTCTCCCTCCCAGCCAGGCCTCACTCTGGCTTAAGGCCCCAGCAGGGACGTCCCAGCGGCTGTAGCCCTGCTGCGGTGCCAGAGGCTGGGCATCACCCGGTCTCCCAGGATGGCTCCTGAGCAGGGCGCACAGTCCGCTCACTGGGGACTTAGGGCGTGTCCCCGCTGCCTCCTCCTGTCTCCTCTCCTTGCCTGATGTCAGCAGAAAGGCTTGCTGGGCCAGACCTGCTGGCCCTGGTGGGCTGGGCTTAGAGGCAGGGTCTGTCCAGGCCCACCCTCCCTACATCACCCCAGAGCCCATCTATCCCCACAGGCCAACAAAACGGACGATGACCAACAGGCCCTAAGGACAGGGACCCCAGAGCCCCAGCCTGTTTGGAAGCTTTAGCGCCATCTCCCCTGACAGTGCCACGTGAGGTCGGTTGCTATGGAGATGGGAGATGGGCGCGCAGGGAGGGGACGGACCACGGCAGCGAGGACAGGGTTCTCTTCGGTACAAATCAGACTGAGTGCCAAGTCTCAGCTGCCTTAAAGCTCACGTCGCTGCTTGGGGGCTAGTAGGCCGGCCCTGTGGTCTTTCTGGGGTCCCTGGGAGACACTAGGGGGCTGGGGAGACCACAGAGCACCCAGAGCCAGCACACCACGGAAGCCCGAAGGGAAATGCCACCGCGCCACCGCGCACACAATACTCCTCCTGACAGCAGCCGGGGCTGCCGACAGCACGTGATTCCAAGATACTGACTCCCCCACATCCTGGGGGTCTCCTGAGCACCCCTCCCCATAAGACACCCTCCTGCTCTGCCCCCCGCCTGAGGCCTGCTGCTGCGGGCGGGTGGCAGGCCTGTGGCAGCGTCCACGGCTGGCTGGCTGGGCTCGGCCCCTGGACACGCAAGGGCGAGGTCCTCCAGGCGGGGCCTTCCTGGCTCACAAAGATAGCGCAGCCCCTGGGGTGGTGGCCAGGAGACCCCACTGCTAGTGACCGCCAGGTGCTAGGCTACTCACCGGCGCTGGCCCCTGGGGGCTGAACCATCCCGGTCGCTCCCAGCCGTGCCGCTCCTGGAACACACAGCCTTGAGCGAGGAGTTCCTGGGCAGGGAGGGACACATCACACATGGCTGGCCACTCTGTGCAGGACACCCAGGGCAGGGGGCGCGGCGTCCTCACATGCAGAACCCTAGAGCAGCCGCAGTCCTCACTCCAGGAAACCCCAACTCTAAACTCGCTGTCTGCTATGGACTGAATCAGCCAGTGATGGGGACACCCCACGGCTACCTTCCCAAGGGGAAACTGTTATTCTCAAGATCCCATTAGAAGGGGGCTGGCTCCTCTGCTTAAAAAGAAAAAAAAAAAAAAATCTTAAGTGGCTGTTATTGGTCACAGGAAGCTAAAGAGGCTCTCGGTCAGGGGAGCGTGGCCAGCAGGACCCTGCGGTGCATCTGCATCCCTGCGACTGAGCAGGTCCTGCCTTCACCGGGGAGGCCTCTGAGTCCCCGGCCTGAGGCCCTGTGTGGCCTGAGATCACAGCTGGCCCCTTATGCTGCTCGGGGCCAGGGCATTCTGGGAAGCAGCCCCTGGCCAGCAATGTCTCCAGGCCTCTCCCCAGGAGGTCCTCTCAGGCCCAGGCACTGGCGTCCCAGAGGAGGTGGGCACCTTCTCCAGCTTAAATATCACCCACTCTCCCGGCCTGCCTCCCTTGCCATCCGCCATTCAGCAAACTTCCTCTGAGCACCTCACAGCCCACACCCCAGAACAGCCAGGACCTGGCCCCTGCTCCCCAGTAAGCAAAGCACAGGGAGGGCAGGGAACAGACGCAGGGCAGACCTCCGGGAAGGGCACCTGACAGTGGCTCTCACTGTGTACCGAGTTCCCAGGAGTAAAGGCACCCCATGCAGGCTCTGTGTCAGTGTGCCTCAACTGCTGTCCCCACTGATGTGCGACGGCACGGGCCCCCATGTCCACACCCCATGCCACACATGCACCCCTGTGTACATATCTGCAGCACACACACCCACTGTGCACATGCCCGCCATGCACACACCTGCTGCAAGGCACCCACCATGCCACGCACACACCCACCACACATGCACCTCCATGCTCACGCCCCACACACACATGTACCATGCATGTATCTCCACATTCACACCCACACACACACCCAACATGCATGCACCTCCACGCTCGCACCCCCAAGAGTACACCCACCACGCAGGCACCTTCGTGCTCACACCCCCCAAACACACCCACCACGCATGCACCTCCACACTCGTACCCCCCCAACACACACACCCACCACGCATGCACCTCCACACTTGCACCCCCCACACACACACACCATGCATTCATCTCTACACTTGCACCCCCAAGAGCATACCCACCATGCAGGCACCTCCACGCTCACACCCCCATGCACACACCCACAACACATGCACCTCCACGCTCACACCCCCACGTGCACACCTACCACCCAGGCACCTCCACACTCGCACCCCCACGCACACACCCACCACACAGGCACCTTGTGCTCACGCTCCCACGTACACACCCACTAGGCATGCACCTCTGCACTTGTGGCCCTGCGCACACACCCATTAGGCATGCACCTCCGCGCTCACGCCTCTATGCACACATCCACTACACAGGCACCTCACGCCCCCCACGCACACACCCACCACACAGGAACCTCACGCTCGCGCCCCCACACACACACCCACTAGGCATGCACCTCCGCGCTCACACCCCCACGCACACACCCACCACACAGGCACCTCGTGCTCATGCCTCTACATGCACACCCACTAGACATGCACCTCCACACTCGCACCCCCACACACACACCCACTACACAGGCACCTCGTGCTCATGGGGAGCTCTGTGCACCTCTGCCACCCCGCACCCTGAGGGATCCCAGCACCCCCACAGCCTAGCACGGCCGGAGCCCCCGGGCGGGCCACCTCTCCTCATGCCCCGTCCAGCCAGCGGCTCGTCGTGGGGGAAGACCACCGAGTAGTTCTTGGCGTAGGACTCGTGGCTGCGCTCGCGGACCCAGCGGTGGTGGTCAGTGAGCGAGTGGTGGAAGCGCCTGTGTGGAGGGAGCACCGGGTCACTGCTCTGGGGACAGTGTCAGGCCAGGGCTGGCCGGGGGCCCCG